GGATTCACCTTGGCCGATTCCTGTAGATTCTGTTATGTACCAGCAGTCTGCTGCTACAGCAGAGCCTCCTGCTGCTTGGCATGTTCATCCTCAGCGAAGAAGTGTGCAGAGACAGTGTTCCAAACTTGCTGAAAATCCATTGTCCTGAAACTATCTTTTTTTTTTCCTCTTTTTTATTTTTTAAAGAATACAAAATAGTGAGACCTCTGAAACTCTATTCATCAGGTCATCCCGTCATTTCATTCAGCACCAACTCAACATACAACAGACAGGAGTATATGTGGGAGAAAGAGATTCATCTCAAAAAAAAAAAAAAAGGTTCATCTATGTATGCAAGCAGAATGGTTTGGATCATGGTAGTGCACATTTCTGCTGGTCTATGGAAAGGAGCAGATATTACTTAAATTGTTTTGCCTCCTTTTTTCAACTATTTGTACTTTTTCTCTTCTTAATGTCTTATACATTTCTTTTTTTTCTTTCTTCTTCCAGTTTTACATGCATATATCCAGCCAAGTCAAGAGCCTGTTGGGAGACAACACTATGTATTACAACAAATACTGTGAAACTGGTATCACTTTGTTAAGTCTAATACTGTATCATTTGCAACTTTTGCTGTTTTTATTCTAATTTTTACTCTCTAAAAAATGAAAATTAATAAATAAAAGCCAAGAAAATAAAGAATACAAAATAGTGATAGAAAAAAATAGCATTAGAAACGATACAAAGTTTCACTCAGCAAAGTGTCTGCAGCTGTCACTCAGAGTAGATTTGTCCCTTTAACATGTCATTTTAGGCTTACTTCACTAGGTTTTCCAGGGCCTCTTATGTGGGCAACAGGGCATTGTTGATAAAACCTGATTGTGACCAAGTTGGTATACAGAGAGGAGGAAGCAGAATCAGTCAAGGAAGTTATGGCTGCAGCTATTCTGTAGCTAAAGAATAGGAAGGAAAGAAGAAAATGCTAGTTGGATGTGGTGGTACACACCTGTAATCCCAGCACTCTGGGAGGCTGAGGCGCAAGGATGGGGAGTTCAAGATCAGCCTGGGCAACTTAGTGACTTGGTGTCAAGTACAGAATCAAAAATGCAGTGGGGATATAGTTCAGTGTGAAGGCCCTGGATTCAGTCTCGAGTGGAAGGAGAAAATGTTTACATAGATGTGGTTGGACATACAGAAGCGAGAAATGAATAAAGAGAACACCAGGTGGAGAACTCCAGGCTGGAATTATGGTCCTATCAATGGTGGGAGGTCCATGGAGGAGTTTTACAATGAAGTGACCTCTTTTATATCTATAAAAGGACATTAATAACTTTTCTGGTTACCTCACAGCATTATAATAAGAAACAATTTTATAATAAGAATGTTTCATATTTCAATACACAAATGTAAGGTATGTTTATAGTGATTGGTATGTTTTAATGACTTTAATATGTTATTCTCTTTACAAGCACTATTAGAACAAATCCCTCTATTCATTGAATAAGAGAATGTAGCTATATATCCTAACCATTTTGAATACACTAATACAAAATGGTCATTCATTTGTATCCCCCCCTTTTTTTTTGTTTAGTTCCATCATTTAAATATTATAGGTGTGTGAACTCAGCAAAATATTCCAAAATAGCCCAGTAGTCCATAATAGTGTTGGGTCTTCTGGTGTTTGTAAATAAGATACCATGTCTGCATCTTGTACAACAAATAACCACTAAGAAGACAGTATGCAATGTGTTAATTATTGGAACTCTCCTACCAATTTGATTTGAAACTGTCTCATTGCTATTTATTTCTCAATAAAATTATGGGAAAAATAAAAAATGTAAAAAATATATATAAAATAAAAAACAAAACAAAGTTGTGGGTGGTCTTTGTACTTTGTTGGTAATTTCTTTTGATGTGCAAAACTCCTCAGTGGGAGGAGGTCCCAGTTGTTAGTTCTTTCAAGTATTACAGTTTGATTTTTGTTCATGAACTGTTTGCCTGCCCCTGTGTCTTCAGGGCTTCCTGCTACTTTCTCTTCCTGTTTGAATGGCAACGAAATACCCATCTCTGACAAAACTTAAAAAAAAAAGTAGGGATATAAATGAAGGACAATTTTGTAGTGAAAAAACATCTATCTATCTATCTATCTATCTATCTATCTATCTATATCTGTGTATACAAAATAGTTAGGATAGATATACAGCTACTTTCTCTTGGTTCAATGAGAAGAAAGATTTGTACTAATAGTGTTTAGACAAGATATCATGTTTGCATCTTATACTATGAATAACTACTAAGTAGACAACAATATTCAATGTATTAACTATTATAACTGTCGTACTAACCTGTCTTGAAACTGTCTCATTGCTATTTCTTTCTCAATAAAATTAATTTTTTTAAAAAAGTAAAAAAATTATGTTATTCTCTGTTTAAGCCTATGAAGATGTATATAACAAATTTTGAAGAATTTTCATTAAAGATTTTCAAGTTAAAACAGAAATATTGGTAAATAATTTAAGTGTGAATGATTTAAATGGCAAAAAAATCTAAGTGATAAATCACAGCTAAATGAAAATTCACTTAGTTGGCTGTTTAGAATTCAGTCATGAGCAACAGAGACCTGATTACAGGTGAGAAAACATGGAGCTAAAGAGTGTGCTTTAGCGTGCAGAAATAGGAAGATGTTGGGACTGGCAGACATGTCATCTGTGTTGTCTTTATTCTTAGGCAATCTTTTTGCACATGGCGGCAAAGAAGACAATCTACAAATTCAGTCCTACATTTATGGGCCACCTCATGGCAGTCTAAAGAAGTAAAATTGCTTTGAGTATAGGAGGAGAATTGTGTTTTCTTCCCCTGGTTTATGGTGAGTCAAACTCTGAACGGAGGTTTAGATTAGATTAATGTGCTGTGGTGCAGGGGCTGTCTGAGGTGACGGTGGGCTGAATGTGGACTACATCCTGCCTTTACAAATAAAGTTTTATAGGGACACAACCAGACATCTTCATTACGTAGAGATAACCTGTGGCTACTATGAGGCAGAATTTAGTAGCTATGACAGAGATGACAGCACTCCCAACAAGTGAAATATTTATTAACTTGCCCTTTATAGAGAGAGTGTGCTGAAGTCTGTCCTGGAGGAATGTGTGTTTTAGCCTGAGCAAACAACTTCTTAAATATATTTTCTCATCTATACAATGAAGGTCACTGACTACATAATCTTAGAGACTGCTCTTTGTATGCCTATGTTTATTCTGTGAGGATTGTTTGGTTCCATGCCTAACACTGCTGAATGTACACTTAGGGTCCTGTAACTTTCTACTCTCTTTTTCTAAAATCATGCTTCCTCAAATAGTAAAAAGTCTGTTCTGTATTAGAAGACTCTTAAATCATCTTCTCCAAGTAAGAAGAGCTGCATTCAAAATTACCATGAAGACATTCATGGTGTGGTTGCAGAGAGCATCTGCCTGGTGTACTGTGTCTATGGGAACATCTCAGCCTCGCAGGTAGCAAGGGATGAGTCTCACAAAACACATGTATGTGTCCCTTTGTACCCAAAGAGAATTAATTCCAACACCCCCGGTGGGTAACAGCATCAGAAGACATGCAAGTACTTTCTACAAACTGGTATAATATTTGTAAATAACTTACTCATCCCTGCCATATGTGTTCAATCTTCTCTAGGTTACTTAAAGTACTTAGTACAGTGTAAACACTAGGGAACAGTTGTGATACTGCATTGTTTATTGTATAATGTTAAGGAAGAAAACTCTGCACACATCCAGTGCATGGTTTTCTTCTGAATATGTTCTGTCCATGGTTGGGCTAGTCCTCAGGTGCAGTGCTCTTGGGTTTGAAGGGTGGACTGCGGTATCCAAGTGGGGTCAAAGCTCCTCCTTACCATGAGATAAGAAGAAGACAGGGGATGAAATGGTAGGGGAAAGGTGCAGTACAAAGGCACAGGATGTGACAACCAGAACAAGACCTCTGAGACCCACACAGTAAATCATTTTTTTTTTTAGTGGAAAAAATAGAAGCATGGTCAGTTTCCATTTTCTATGTTAACGTTTTTTTGAGCTACTTCTGTGTTTGATTTTCAAAACCTCGGGCAATAGGGTTTTTCTTTCCCCTAAAAAAAAAAGAACTCTAATAATTAAATTATTTCTAAGAATTTGAAATACATTAAGTAAGGACAAAACCCCAGAACCATTTTCCCCTTCTTCCTTCCCTGTTCCATTGGTGCTGGTTCTAGTATCTTAGTCCAGCTAAATTGTGTCTCGCTTCCTTCTGTCTTATTTGTTGATGAGGCCTGAATCTACCTTTTGTAGCAATAAGAATGGAGTCATGTGTCTGAGACCTTGTTGAATTCCTCATGATAAAGGAGAAGGATCGTGGCATTTTCCACAGTGCTCCCCTACAATAGCCCAGCAGGAGCTGACAGTTTATGCATTGTGTTTGTGTGCTTCTATGTTTATGTGGGTCAGTGCGTACCTTTAGTTTAGTTAGCATATTCCTCATTGCCAGCCTCTTGGGGAGGACTCTCTGTTGATGTTCAGATAGCAACATTTCTGTTGCAATGAAGAATTCTTGATCAAAGATAATCATAATTATTGTTCATTTTTTACATCAGACATAATTACTTAATTGTTGAAAGTTACAGTGTAGATCTAGACATTTTCTGTCATTTAAAGTATTCACCAATACATGAAAGCATAAATATCTAATAATCTTCAACAACCTGAGAACAAGAATAAATATTTTAAGAAGAAAAAGGTATGACATAACAAGTTATGACTTAATAAGGAAAGACAAGGAATGGTCTCTATAGACCAAGAGGAAAACGGGGCCTCAGATATATTTGTACTGAAGGAATGTTATGAATATAAAAAAGCAGCCCTACTGGAAGCCAAATGTTTTTCATGTTATTGTAAGGCTAACGTTTCTTGGTGAAAAGTATAAATTGCCATTACCTGTGTCTATTTAATATTTATTAACTTTATATTTAAATTGTATTGCTCTAGGGCTTGAACTTCAAGAAGCGCAGGATGACAGTGATGGAGTTAAGGAGGGCAAGTGTGGAAACGAGAAGTAAATGAGAAGTGTGAGGTGCCTACGGGGACAGATCTCGGTGCACTGAGAGAAGCAAGATTCTACCTTTAAAACTAATATTACTTTGGACCTCTTCAGAGATGGAGTTTCCATTTCTTCTCAAGTGTGGAAGGTTGCCCAACTCCAGCAGCTCTATGAGTTCAGCAGCCCTGAATTTCTGTAACCTCACTGATTGGAATTTGCATGGTGGTTCCATTACGTAGGTACAGTTGATTAAGTCACTGCCATTTCTTGTTAATGCCATTTCCAACCTCTTTTTCCTCTCTGAAGGTGAGGGGTGGGGCCAGGAATCTAACCCTCCAATCATAGGGTTGGGGTGGGGCTGGTTCCCTGGCAACTACTGGTCTTCATTCTGGGCTATCAAGGACTCACAAAGAGACAAGATATGTTATGTACTCTGGTCTGGGTAAAAGGAGTTTACACTTTAGGGGCAGAAACTGGGGACAAAGTCCAAATATGCATGTATTTTATCAAAACATCACAGGAAAATAGGGTCATGAAGTGCCTCCCATAAATCCCATTGATTGGTATGGTGAAGAAGAAAGGAGAAAGTTCTCTGTTTGATCAAGAGAGGGGATGAGCCAGAATTAGAGAACACCTGCCGTAGCAAAGAATGAATGGAGGATCCAGTGTAAAAGGAGATAGCACAGTCATGTGACTGTGTGGTGCCACAGTAGGTCAAATCCTCTTAGCCTATAGTGGCTTGGTCCCTTAGTTCTGTATCATCCCCTGGAGCTTAGATGTGGTGGAGTTCAGGACATATACCCCAAAAATATGCTGAGCTGAAGGCAGTTTCAGAAGCAGGAAGTTCCCACTCGCCTTACCCTCACCTTGTCCTGTTGGTCATGCAAGTAGGAAGGGTTCTCTGACCTTGAAGTAGATCATAAGACTCTCATTTGGCAGGTGCCCTCCCTCTTTAGAAGAAAGCAATATTCTTCTTTCTGGAGACATAAGAGCACAGAAAATCTCTGAACAAACAGGTCTTCATAAGTCTTCCATACATATTACCGTTACTTTTTTTATTATTAGTAGAACACATGCTTCATCTATTCATAGGTCTTCCATGACTGCCCACAACTTCCCCAAGTGTAGCATAAAAAAAAAAATGCATGGTGCGTTTCCATATTTTGAGAGCTTTTTATTTCCTTATGAAGACTCCTGGATATCTCATACACACGTGCACACACACATACACAGACACACACCACACACACACACCTTAGACTACTTTGTCTGCTTTTTTCTTGTTAGTCTATCTTTTGTTAAAGGGACCTCAGCCAGACTTTGAGATGGGTTAGGAGAAAATATCTCTTTTCCCCTAGAAATGAAAAGAGGAAAGAGAAAAATCCCTCAATTAAACTTTTGGCACTCAAAACACAGGGTCCCGGACTGTGGCTCTCTGGCATACTGAACACTCTGAACCAAAGGACCTGGAATCCTGGAAAGCTTCTCTAGACCTGAGGTGTCTCCAGCCATCCCTTATTTCTCTTTCACGCCAAACACATGAAAGGACTCTCTTTGAAACTACCTATATGACTAACAGGAGTTCCTCCAAAGAAATACAATAATGTTGGGCTCCTTCCCTAAAAGTCTCACTAACTCTGTCAGTAGAGTAACTAGCAAAGATTGTTTCCCCAAACAACCCAATCATTAAATGAGCAAATGAATTAAGTGAATATGTCTCAAAAGAACAAACACAAATGGCTAGTAGGTGTATGAAAAATGTTCAGCATCTTCAGGCACCAGGGAAATGCAAATTAAAACTACATCGTTATTCGATCTCATCCCTGTCAGAATGGCTATCATCCAGAATTCAAGATGGTAACAACTGCTGAGGAGGATGCTGGGAAAAATAAATTTTGCTACACTGTTGGCAGGAATGTGAATAGAAGTTCTTCAAATACCTTAACATAGGGATACACATGATCCAGTTATACCACTCTTCTGTGTATTCCACAAAGAACTGAAGCCAGCATAGTATAGAGATACCTACATACTCATGATTAATTTTGTTGCATGAGTTTCACAATATGGAAACCACTGAGGTGCCCGTCAACAGATGAATGGACAAAGAAAATGGGCTATCCTTATGTCCAATGAGCTATTACTGAACAGCAAAGAACACAGCTCTATCATTTTCAGGGAAATGGATGGTACTGGAGAGCATGATAAATGAGAAAGATAGGTCTCATAAAGTCAAATATAACTTTTCTTTCATATAAGGAATCTAAGGAGGAAATGGAAGGGAGATTTTTAAAGAGGAGGAGGGAGGCATAGGCAAGGGCTGGTAACTGAAGGCTGAATGAAATCAAGTATGCTATATGGATGTGCAAATGCACCAAAATGAAGCCCATAAGGTTTTGTTTTTGTACTGGGAATCAAACTCGGGATGTTGCACTTGTCAGGTAGGCACTGTGCTGCTGAGCTACACCGTGGGCCCAATTGAGTCCATGTGGCTAAAATGTATCAGAGACCTGGCCAAGATTCCCAACTGCCTGTGTGATGAGTGTGGCAGAAACATGAAATAAGAACCAGATAAATGTAGTAATATGTGGTGGGGGGCTGGGAGTCAGTGCCGCAGGATGGGCAAATCAAAGGCCTCCAAGATAACCACTGTTCATTAGCCAGGGTAGAGAAGCGGGTAGGAAACGATGCTTCTCTGGAAACGATGTTCAAGCACTTGTACTATGGGAAATTTTAATGAAGAGAACAAGCCGAGATCCCTCCCCACACCTGGCTGCTACGACTTATGGATTATGAATGATTTCTGCATCCCAAAGCCGGCCCACAAGGCAGGCAGTGTAAGGAAAGCCTAGGGCATACTGCATCAATTTACAATTCATGGTCCCCAACGAATATGTGCTAATTAATTGTGGTTTTGAAGATCACATTAACCAAGGAGGATGGACTCATAGAGGAGAAAACCAAGATGTGTTCATCTGTTTACCAAAACATAGGACCTATGCTTTCAGGACCACAACATAGAAAGCTTTAGCCTAATACAACCTTTGCTCAAGTATGGCTCTGCGCTGACCTTCAGTAACTGTCACCACCACCTCTACAGGAGCCCATGGAATGTTACTCCAGGATTCTGCCTGTTTGTCAGGTCATCCATTTCTAAAAGCCATCTACTACTCTACTGTAGTGGGGCACCTACAGTGCCCCCCTTTCCTTTGCCATATGCAGAGTAGGTAAGCTTCAGCCATCTGGCTGTCCTTTGAGTTTCCAGCTGTGTGTGTCTTCTCTGCGCCTGTGCACATCATGAAGTTTGGAAGGTGATCTCTGTATGAGGGTGGATGGAACAAAGGAGAATGCAAGTGAAAAGGATGAAGAAATGATATGTATATGTACTGATTCTTCTTAATGACTATATTGAATATTGCATATGTATCACAAATGTAATAAGAACAATAGAGAAAGGTAAATAAATTGGTGTGCCCATCCTGTTTGTCTTTATGCGTTTGCTTCAGCAGGCTTACCTATGACATTTTAAGAGGGAAAATTTGAATTTCCCTGCAGAGTAGGGTCCAAGGCTCAGAGGGTCAAACACAAAGTTAGGTTTTCACGTGATATTACCGTCTTACTTTCTCTTGACCACCTGAGCAGCCAAGTCTCCCCAGCTATTTCTCAGAAGTCTACGAAGTGTAAATTCCCCTCTTCTCCTCCACCCTCCACTCCTGTGTATGAGGAAACTTTGAGAGCAAGTCCACTTGGCTTTCTTTATTGAGTATACTCTCAAGACTAGCTTATTATTTTTTCCATGCCTTCCTGAAAATGAGGCTTTTACAATAAGAATTGATTCCATTTATCTTTTTCTTTTAGCCTTGTGCTGGGTCATATCTTCTCTAAAGCAATAAATAGAAAATGCTTTAGCTGAATAAATGGGGCAAGGATCAAGGAATACAAGATAATATTTCAAAATATTATCCTGCCATAAATACAAATATGGCTTGTATGTCAATGGTGGAGTTACAGGGCACTGAAACATGACCTTATTTGTTACTACCCATGGTGTAGGCTGTCAGGTAGCAACAGACAGTAGTACTTAGGGGGATGATAGGTCAGTGTCATGACCAGAGAGAGGCCAAATCGGACAGTCACGGTCTCTATCTAAAATTAGGCTCTACTCTTTGGCAAATGTGTAGAGATTACTTTACTAGTTTACTAAGCTTGTGGCTCCTGTACAATGATAAATAATGAGTTTTGACTAGGAACTACAAGTCCCATGTTCAAGTTTTGATTCTGTCAATAAAGTTTTAATTGGGTATTTTGTAATTGGCCTCACAGTGTTTCCTTAAAATGTATACAAATGAAACCAGGGTTGGTTGTGCATATTTGTTGTCCTATCCCTCCAAGGCAGGAGTATCACAAATTTAAGCCCAGAATGGACAATTTAACAAACTAGGGAGATTCTGTCTCAAAAACAAAACAAACATACAGCAACAAAAAGAAAAAAAAAAGAAGATGGACGGGGAGGTAGCTCAGTGCAAAAGCTTCAGTACTGCAAAAATTTTAAAGAATATATTCTAATGAAGTAGGTTGTTTCTCAAGACAGTACAGTTTTCTTTTGGACCAAATACATACATATTGGGCAATCCTTGTTATAGGGCAAAAGCAAAATCTGGGCCATGGGAGTCTAGGGAATTCAGGTTGCTGGGGATTGCTTTAGGATCACAAACCACAGGGCTCTACAAATCAGCATGGAAAGTGGGATTTTTTTTTTCTTTTTCTTTTTTTCTTTGTCTCACGATGCAGTGCAGGCTGGTGTTGAGCGTACTTTGTAGCCCAGGCTGATCTCGAACTTGTGATAAACCTCCTGTCTCACCCTCCAAGGGCTGAGATTCAGGCTTATGCCACCACACCCATGGGGATGATCTTTCACAAATAAACATTCCTTACTTAGCATTTCCCTCGAAGCTAACTATGTGGGCATTTGATATTTTTAAACTGTGACCAGACTTATTGGCTCATCTGTCACATATTTGCATGGCTCCTACCATTCTAAGTCCCTGAACAACAATGACCTGTCTCAATCTGCAGGAGCTCTTTCTTGGTTTTTTAGGAATCAAATGAAATAAAATAAAATAAATCCTTCTCCCGACTTCAGTTTCACCCTCACTCCTGAGAGAATCAGCCTGAGTTGTTTGCTTCAGTTTATATATCTGATATAAAACTCAGCCCAGCAGGTCACTGGGATTTTGCAGTTTTAGGTACATATTAGAAAGTGCCTGCAACCATTTATAGAAAATCTATCATGGAATCGCTACTCCCAAAGGAGCAGTAT